AGTGTGTGAAGCCACCAGGCCCGCAGGATGTTGAAGGATGCAGAGAAAAACAGAGTGATGCATTCAAAGTTGTTCAGTTCAAGTTGTCCGTAGACCCTAGAGCACATCGCGCGGTTTGTCTGCGGTCTCCGAAGGTACAGTCGTCATCCGGTGACTTGATTTGGGCGGCAAGGGACGCGACGCGGCTGCGGTGTGTTGCGAGCGCGGCGATCAGTTTCCAGCCTATTTTAGCCATTTTCTCCCTAGTTTACGCTGTTTTGGCTGCTTTTCTCACGATTATTTTCTATTTTTTGAGGTTAGTTGTTCTATCGTCTATATGAAGTATATTAGGACGAGGAGTGTTTTCTTTTGTTTTGCAATAGAGTGTTTTTGCGATTTTTTCAGCTATTTGTTCGATTGTCTGCTTAACTGTTTAATTGTACGCAAAAACCAGAAGAATCTCAATCATAATTTACCTTGTGAAGACAAGAAACAACTAATCGTGAGAAAAGCAGCCAAAACAGCGTAAACTAGGGAGAAAATGGCTAAAATAGGCTGGAAACAGGTGATCGCCGCGCTCGCAACACACCGCAGCCGCGTCGCGTCCCTTGCCGCAATAATCAGGTCACCGGATGACGACTGTAGGCATGTGCAAAGAAAGGCACCACTATTTCGGCCAGAGGAAGGACACGAGCACAAGCCGCAAGCCAATCTCCCACTCAGTAGCCTAAAATGTGCTGAAAGCACGGCAAAGCTATACTAACCTGTATTTAGGACCGGCCGGAGCAGTAGTCGTGACCCATGTAACGGCGTTGTTAGGCGCAGCGTGTAGTGCCAAACCTGCATGAGCTGCGGTGCCAACAGGATGGTAGAACTGTGCTGTTTGAGCTGTAAACGAAGGCGCAGTTTAAAGTGAACATAAACATGTATTCGCAAATTGAAAAGTTGTAGTCAACGTTAGCAATTGCTATCACACGCTATTTTTTTGCTAGTAGGCCGTGTTATCCCAGCACTGGAGATCAGAAGGATGCGGGCAAAAGGGAAGTATGGGTATCGATCAGGCGAACGGAGAATAGGAGACTGGGGAAACAGGAAGCGCGCCAAAAGAGTAGTCGAGAGTCGATTGACTTGAGTTCCTTGCGAACAGAGAAATGGAGACATTTAATCTTTTCGCGTGCACTCTCATACGAGTCTATTCCCCTGGTCCGCCGACTGCGCATACTCATTCTCCCAACTTCCGAATATCCTCGTTTTCTATTCTGCCCGTTCGCTAGCGGCCCTGGTCGATCTGTTACAATGTACCCTTTGGCGCCCGTTTCCCTTATCTCCCATTCTCCACTGTCTTCAAGTATGAACGCGGTTCAATGATTCTCCATTGAACGCAGTAGGAAAACGGACAGTAAATAAAGGATGGCATTTATTATAAGATCTCTCATGAAGCATTCTTGTCGCTTCCTTTGAAACAAAAGATCTGTATATTCATAACGACCAGCAGCAGGATACAATGTGACGGAAGAGTCCAGAGCTACTCAGAAACCAAAGTGATCGCGTTTAGCTCCAGCGAAGAGCTCGTTCGCAAGAGCTGCTTAAACACGATCTCCTCGTTTCTAAGTCAATGAGATGTTTGGGAGGAAGCGGGATTCTTATTCTCTTGTATACACCCCCTAGCCCCACCCTCACACAACGAGTTTTTCTTTCTACGGGAAGGTGAAGGCAGGGATTACTGGGTGCTGGGTTTTGTGGGAGACAGGAAGAAAGGGGGGGGGAGGCACCGGGACACCGGAAGGTGAGTCCGTACTGGTTCTCCATGCTTTTCGGTGCGCCATAGGCAGTAGCCGCTCAGCAACTATGGGGACGCTACAACAATACCTCGACAATCCAAGTAACAAAACGGCTCTAATGGTCCGCGCTTTTGGCCGCAATCTTATCGATGACCCAAAGCCTCCACGAAATCTTTTTTTTTCCACTAAAATGTTCACTGAGACAAAAGAAGGGAAAATAAATGACTCACCAACAGAAGGATGGTATTGAGACGCAGAAGCTAGAAGTTTCGATTGATCCAACTCGCCAGCTAAAAAAAGGATTATCATAGGTCATTTTCTATAGCACGCAACATTAAAGAGTCGGATCAACTAGGGACAAAGAGGGGATCGAACGATGCGACATAAACTACGATGAATGAAGAGATAAGATAAGTATTTCAAAGAAATAAAATATGAAGGCACCGGCAATTACTAATAGAAACAAGTCTAGTCTTGTTTTCCATACTGCTTCTGTATATAGTGGGATTGATTTTTACAAAAGATGACTCCTTGTAAATGTAGATCCTTCAGCTTTGCGGATGAAGGAGAATGTTAGGCGGAATGGGTTTGGCGAGGCGCCAAACCCACGATATTGTTTCATATCGTTCGTAGCAGTCGCTTCCCATTGAATTTTGTCGCGTTCCCGCTTCAGTAACCAGTAGCATTGTGCCAAACCGCAGGCTGCCTGACACGCCGCTTCTATCGCAACGAACAAGATTGTATCGCCTGATTTTGCACACTTTTACAGGTGACCTCTGCAGTCCACTCAAGCAAGAAAAAAAACTTCTTCGAAAACTACATATGTTTTCAAATAAATGCTCTCATTGTCAGTGCTAAGTTATTCATGATTTCTCAAGACCATGTTACAACAGCCAAAAACAGTTTTATCAGCTGAAAATCATGTAATAATTCTTGCTCGTTTCAGTGCTTTCGGTTTTCCTTTTTCCTTACTGCCTTGTTTACCTTTCCCTTGGAATAAGTTAGGCCTTTCTGTGCGTACGAAATAAAGTATTGAATAAATAATAAGTTTATCGAATTTTCAGGAAAGTGATGCAAAATCAGTAAAGGTAGGAACTCACTCTGTGCCTTTCTAAAGTTCTCTATTACACAAGGTAGAAATGTGTTGTCTTTCATGTGAACAGTCACAAGAGCCATTAGAAACTCCATAGGAAGAACGTCATCTAACAATTGCCCTAAATTAATATCAATAAGTATTAGAAACCTCATAAAAGTAAGCGTTTATGAACATATTCCGCGACAACAACTCGAGCAAGGTCCAAACACGAATTTCTACATGACTAATCCAAGAGAAGAGTGTACAAAACCATGGAACACATCGAAAATAGTGTCCCAGGATTGGACGAGTTATCACTGGAATGCTGAGTTATTGCTGAAAGTCGCACCCTAGGCGAGACTTGAACCCGCGCTTCACGCTTGACGGGAGTGCTATCCATTATGCCAGAACAACCACTTATACCCTCTCAGCTCAATTATTAGGTTGGCGGGAAAGTTCTGTCACACTTTTTTGAACTCAAAATACTTGCCCATTACCTGAAGAGGGGTAACCGGTAATGTGAATGTGAGCACTTATACATCAAGGAGTGGTCTTTCTATTAGTACCACTCGCTTGACTCCTGCTTCTTCTTCTTCTGCAATATGGACAAGGATTTTATCCGCTACCATCGGCACCGACCCCTCCAAGCGCTTCCTCAAACTCTTTCTTCCACCACCCTGACGCCAGCATGATAGCTGCAGATGCCAAAATAATGGAGCTGAATAAAGAACACGAGTGGTCCCTGCAACCCATCGTACGAACTGTCCACGAACCTAATGCGTTCAAAGGGGAGTCTCTACAGTTCTTGCATGACGAAGTGAGGTGGTTCCCAGGAACTCAGATTTTGAGGGAGGCTTTGTGGGGTAGTGAAACGCTGAATTAAGAGCGCTGCTTCTCGGTCAATGTGTACGCATTTAGCAGGCCTACGACGTATCTCAAAGAACGTCCGTCGATCAGAGGTGATAATTTGCTCGCACAGCCCGCCCTCATGCGTGGCAGTGCCAGTGCACTCTGTCCTTAAAAATAGTTCGAGCCACGAAATGCTCACGCAATAGAACTTGGGATGGTCTCCCCTTGCTTTTGAGCACAGACAAAAGCAAGGGGAGGCAATCCAGTTCTTATGCCGAGCATTCAGTTCTTTTGCTCCTCTTTAACTACTGGCTGCTCCCGTACTCGATCGTTATATTGTCCTATGAAACTCCACACACCGAGCTCAAGTCAAAATCTCTGGGATGATGTCAAGCATTCGACGTTCGCGTCATCCTTGCTTGTTGAAGCGATCTATCCATGAAAATAGGGTGCTCAAAGTATACGGCCAAAAAGAAAACGCAAGAACCCCGCAGTAACATTGCTGTATAATTTTGATCCTTACACCCCTCTCCATAAAAAAACGTAATTTGAAAAAATGTTACAGAACTTTCCCGCCAACCTAATACGTGTCACGCCTTACAGACTATCCGAAGGAACGAGAAACTTCTGAACGAGGAAGAGACCAGAAAGAAATGAAGAAAGAAGCGACCACCTAGAACGAAGCAAGGTGTACATCTGCATTTACAAATATAGGACTTCTGGCATATTCAGTCATCAGATAAGGGACATCCCCAAGCACAGCCACAAATGTTTGACAGCCTCCGAGACTGCAAACTGACCCGCCCGTACAAGGGAAGGATTCTACCCGTTGGGTAATCGCGGAAAGTGCCTTCGGTGTTCCAAATGTCATTGGCAGGAATTACACAATAATTATCAAACCTACCTAGAATCGAATCGACGTTAGCCGGCCCTGCCATGGCCGCTTCCGACTGAGCGAGTGCAACAACTTTAGCTTTTCTGAAACAGAACTATTGATTCACATCACAGTCTACTTTAAAAACAGTATGAATCAGACTAACTTTTCGAAAACTTCTTTTTCCCATTGGAGAAATTGCTGCACATACTTGTTATAGGACTCGGTACCAATCTGCCGACTGCAAGACAGAATCTCATAGTTGTGAAATAACATTCAAAACAAAGCAGTTGCTAGAAAGGTTACATGACTACTTAAACATTCCTACTCACTGGTGGGCGGAAAAACATGAGAATTCAAGTAAGAGGCCCGTCCAAGGGGAAGAGGCTCCCGGGTGAGTCACTTGTCATACACAAGCAGTTGTGTGCGGTGAAAGTGGCTGTAGAACCTGACGCAGACCCAGGCAGGAAAACTGTGCAATCAGAGGATTGTTCAAATTTTCTTACTAATTTAGATCGCTATTTTATGTGAACTCCCACACTGATGGTACTGCTGCATTGAAGGTTTATGGTAAAGCGTTAACCCAATACAACAGCGGATTTCGGTGCAACAATTCGTCGAATAGCAGTAGACCCAAATTTTCACAAAAAATTTTTAAAGCAACGAAATGTTGTAAGCTTCGCTTCTGCGCCACTTTTGGCACTATTCAACTATATCAACCCATATTCCGAAATTGGGCCAGTTTTTCGCTGACTTTTCTCTATGAGGCAAATTTGGCTAGAGAAGCACAACTATACCATCCGTTTTCCAAAAACTTGTCTCCAGGATCAGTTGATATATGCCGAACATGGATCTCACACCTGCTCAACCCGAAACCAGCTAGCGCTGTCCATAACTAGTCCACTGAGGTAGCTACGCCTTTGAACACTAGTACCACATCTGCACAGGGAGCAAGGATGAAGGAAAGAGGGATACACGTGACAGCGCAGCCTACTGCGCTTGTCGGCACCCTCCCTTAAGATAGTGGTCCCTTCCTCTGCAGCTAACAAAGAGGCGGATCACTGAAGCAGGCAACCAGATAGGGAAAGGGCAACCAGGTATGTCTCGTGTGAGACGTGTTTCTCTAATTGTCCAAGCACACCGTTCGGCCCGAAAGAGTCAGAAGTCCACGCTATCCGCGGTAGGGTCAAAGCAGGTATGGTGCCGTCGCCAATAACGCGGGCAGTTAGCGATTTAGAGCCAAAAATCACATATTTCTGATTAGGTCACCGAATAACCCCGATTTGCAGAACTACACCGAATCTGATGAGAAACATGTTGGCGAAAGCGCAAAATATAAATGTGATATTCGTAAACGGGGCATCGAATCACCCCGCCATAGTTACGCAAGAAAAACTGTGAGTTTTTGAGTAGTAGTAGTTGAATAGTTCCTCATTTCATAATTCTGAATACTGCGCAGTGTCAGAGGCAGAGGAATACTAAAGTACTAAGAGCAGAATGTTTCAAAGGTTTTGCCTCAATACTTACGAACTAAGGATACCGGGATGGGCGACCTCTTGGTTTTTTGGGTAGGAATTCGGTTCCCATTTCGTGAAAAGATCCTTTCAAATCAATATGCATGGTCCCTCTCCCTATACCACAACGAAAGGTAAAAATTATTGCAGTTCTAAATTTTAAAAATGGGAGCTTCGCAGCAAAACGCCCCACCAAAATTCTTCAGGAGCTTTGCAGCAAAATCCCCCA